CTGCCAATTTTTTTAACCTTAATATGAAGATTCCCTCAACATAACAATTTGTTCAGTACCCATTTGACATGATTCCTTCAAGTTCTAGGGGGAGGCATTCAACTACGAGCTACTTCGACCTCAATATGAAGATGTCTGCGACACAACACTCATTCAAAACCCATATGACACGATGCCTTCAAGTTCAAGGGGAAGGCATTCAACTACTAGCTTATTTGACCTAAATATCGGGATTACAGAGGAACCCTCATCTCCACCAGAAGAACCTCTTCGTGAGCCATGTGCGGATGGTGCTGAGACTGGACTATTTGTTGAGCCAGAATCACCGCAGTTCAACATTGACTCCGATGATGATGATGTAGATGAAGTTCCCACGAATACGGTACACACTAAACCTCTATCACACATGTGTGAAGCTGACTATAATGCAATATACGGGCCAGAATTTGCGGATATGCCTAATGTTGGTGACTACAGATTTAACTCATCAGTCAATGATGGTGAGTTATATATCATAATGGAGTTTTCATCCAAAGAAGAAGCGATGATTGTAATTAAGAACTAAAACATTCGTAATTTTGTTCACTCCAAAGTCAAATAATCCACCACTGAAAAGTATATATTCCATTGTGTCCAACGTGATAACGGATGTAATTGGATGGTTTGTGTATCGAAGAGGAAGAGGAAAAAAATATGGGAACTAATAATATATAATGGTCCTTATACATGTTGTGCTAGAGGGATCAACCATGACTATCCCAACTTGGACTCCGACATTATCTACTAAGTCATCATGCCTATGGTCAAAGAAAGCTTCCATATAATTATTGTTGTGCTAATTTTAGCTATACAGTCTCAACATGGGTACATCGTCTCCTATAGAAAGCATGAAAGGCAAAGCAGAATACCAATAAAAATTTCACGGCGAGTGAGATTAATCTTACAATGAACTACCAAGTTGGTTTAGGGTAATGCGCAGACTGAATCCCAGGATAATAGAATGTATGTAACAAGCTTTTCTTGAACCCATGAATTATTTTGTATCACTTAAATGCCACGACCTCTTCAAAGAATTGAAGCTAACTCATTCAGAGTTAATCTATAAGATAGGTGGTGTGACTGTGGGTTTTTTCAAGCTCTGAAGTATACATGCTCTCATATCATAGTAGCTTGCTCTTATACCCATCAAGGCTATAACTATTTTGTGGATCCCGTATACCAACTTATAATCGTACTTAAGGTATATGAATTTGAGTTCCACCTGATAGGTAATGAGAAAGACCTATATGAGGTTCAGAATTGGCTTCCAATTGTACCATATTCGTCCTTATTGAGAGAGGTAGGTCGTCCAAAATCCTCTTGAATTCACTGTGATATGGATACTCGAGATACGTTTAAAGAAAACAAAAGATGTGGGCATTGTAGAAACCTAGGCCACAATAGGAAAAAATGTTAATCTCTTTTATCATCACGTAACCGTTGAGCATCACAATGTAATTGTAGTTTATGAAATCTCAATTTTTGTTATTTCATTTTCGTTTACTTTCAATTAATGTCATTTGAGCATTAACAAGTAATAGGCTACTCAAGTGCAAATTAAATAAAAACATTACAAACTAAATAGTAAAAATAATTAAAACAATTAAATAGAAATATTAAATACAAACATTACAATTCAAACAATTAAATAATAATAACATTAAGAAACAAAATAAATAAAAAGTCCATAATTCAATAAAATTGCTGATAAACAAAGAAAATCAGATAAAAACATTACAAACTAAATAACTCTATCGATGTCTTGAATGTGTTCCATAGGGCGTCAGTTGTCTATTTCGATGAGGGTTTCTTTGTATAACCTGCTCTTCCTCCTCACTCTCATCATCATCATCACAATAGCAACTACATTTTGTTAATGATGGACGAATGACGATGTAGCACCTCCATAGAATAAAGACCCTGGAGGTACATGACTAACCATCCCACCGCTCATAGAAAACTGTGAAAACATCAACATCGATGACTGCGATCCATATTGAGCCGGATATGTTTGTGTCCATAGTAAATCACCACCCTCCAAATAAGCATCATATGAAACCTACGCTAGATATATAAGCATGCCATTATAATATTCTCCATGAGGTTTCATAAAACCCAACAGTGGTGGCATCTGAATCGACTGCAGTGGCATTTGAACCGACTGCGGTGGCATCTGAAGTGACTGCGTTGCCATATGAAACTACTGTGGTGCTATCTGAAATAATTATGGTGCCATCAGAACCGGCTGTGTACCCATGTATAGTGGTAGGCTGGGAATGTAAATTAGTGTAGATAGTGGTTGCTTTGATGGTTCTAGTGATGCAGGTGAGGACGAGCCGAAATCGCCTACTTCTGCCCACGAGTTGGGGGACGATGATATTGTGATGGTGGACGCTTTTCTTGATGCTGATGAATGCTCCTGCCTCGTGCTTTCTTGGAAAGTAGGAATGACTTCCTGTTCGTGTTGAACCACTCATAATAGTCACCCGTAACTGAATAATGATCCACATAAATTGACTCCCTAGGGGGAATACGTCCACGTTGATCCTCCCAGATCATTATCCACTTGTTATGCTTCAGCAGCCAGTTGACATCATTTTTGCCCGTCTATCGATGTTATGCATATTGTCGAGATATTTAGGTGCTTAAGAAATGTGTTGTACGAAACCAAATTGGCAGAGCACGCGATCAATAGTATGACACTCGATAATGTCATAATATATCAGAGGGACCACTGCCATCCATACATCTAATGAGTCACTCAAGTGAGGTGGGATGCAAAGCCTCATTTCTTGAGTAGAATAAAGAGTACATTCAAACTAAAACAAATATATATAATTTTTATCAAAATAATATTCTAATTATGTAAAAATAATTAAACGTAAATAATAAAATTTAAATGCATACCTCTGTACCAGCCTTCTGATAAATGAGTAACAGAATTTCTTTCAATTCATCTGGTATATCACGATGATTTTTCCTTGTACATGACCACCTATTCAATGTAAAAAAATTATTTCATTACATGCTTAAAAAAATTATTTATATACGAACTCAATATTGAAATTACTTCAACAATAACGGGAAGACTAACAGGTTATTCATGACCGAACATAAAAAAGTGCATGCGATACCACGCCCATGATTGGAGAAGAAGGAGACATTTGCCGATAGCATTTTTCGGATAATCAGTTGCCCAACACATTTCTCTATTCAGAGATGCCAAAACTGTTGAGCCCCAACTGAGTCCGTCGGAAACGTGAAAATCTTCGAGGTGACGCAACCACATAGAATGAACTTGGTTGCGAGATTTATCAGGCATCAAGATCCCTCCTATGAGTTGTAATATGCAAGTCCGGGAAAATATTTTAGCCTCTTCTTTTGAACAGTCTTCATTTAAATATTGAACATTTGTAGCCAACCATGATAATAGTATTCGACCACCGTTGAAATTAGGCGGGATACATCTAAGATACTCCTCGCACAAGGAATGCCAATTACCATCCGCCACACCAGAAATAACATCCCCATCTACCGAAAGCCTCAAATGTATGGAAACACCCTCCAACATAAAAATGCACTCCCCACACGAAAGATGGAATGTGTATGTCTCTAGTCTCCACCTCTCAATCACTGCAGAAATTAGGTTGGATTCAAGGTTACAGTGTCTTCTCTATGTAACCGAATCCAACCTTAGCTAAATACGGCCAGACACGACTCGGTATCTCTAACATAGCGTTACAAATAAATAGATCTAATATATGATAATTCCCCTAATTAAATAAATAATATACAAATTAAAATATAAACTAATACTAAAAATAAATAAAACATTCACAATAATTAAAATAACACAATTTAAAATTATTACCGTATCGGTAAAATGACTCGAGATATGATTCTTATCTAAACGCAACAACTCACCTTCCATTTTATAACTACAAAAAGTAATAAGAAAATTAGTAAATTAAATAATAATAAAATAATAAACTATTAAATAATTATAATATAATAAAAAAGTATAGCTTCTAAAATTGATAGTAAAACTTAGTTAAAGCTTGCTATAAGAATTGACAAGAAAGATAATAAATTTTTTTTAGTGTAGTTTGAGTGTTGTAGGAGTGGGTATTTATAGGAGGAAGTGGGGAGGGGGACGGTCGGTTGGGCGGTATCAAAGGGGTAAGTGGTAATTTAATGATTCGCGTCTTTTGTCTCGTGTCAAATTCCCCGTGAAGGCGAGAATTATAATAGAAGGGGGAGGGGTCGTCCGAGATTTAAGGCAATTGCGGTAATAATAAAATGGACAATAATTGAGGGGGAATAATCGAAGGCGCGCTTCATGATCTCGCCTCCCTAACGTGTCAGAAAATCCTGCGAAAGCGCGGATTACAATCTGTGTTTTTCCACCGTGGCACTAACTCGGACAGAACCCTAGGAAGGGACGCTTCATGATCCGCCTCTTCCGTCCATGTTTGCGAGGCGCGTATCCTGAAACGCGCTTTATTATCACTATGTCAGAAAGGATGTTAGATTGGTAATATTTGGGAAAATAGTGTCTGACAGATAATTATTGATTGTTTGAGCGAGTTTTGGGTAAAAACGCCGCATATCTAGGTGCGCCACCAAGTAAGGAGGCATGTCCTAATCAAGAGGCAAAAGGGTATGCTTTCAGTTTCACTTTCACACGTTATTAGAAATTAAACTAACCAGAATCAAACAAAAACATGGATGGATGATCCAATCCAACCACCCCATGTCAACTTCAATTAACAAAATTCCAGTGAAGTGGACGCCAAGAAACTTAAAACTCCAATACACATGATCTATTTTTATTGAGCTAATTACATCAAACTCCATTTCTAACGACCCTTTCACTTTTTTTCATGTGTTCATAAAAGGACCTCTTTTCACCACCTGATCAAAACTCATTCACTGCACTTCCACGTGCGCTTAAACTTTTCTCTACAGCCATGGAGGCAGAGGATGTCGGCGGCGTCACCATTGTCAGACGGGCGGAGATCGATACCCGACCTCCCTTTCGGTCGGTTAAGGAGGCTGTCATGTTATTCGGAGAAAAAGTTTTGGTTGCAGAAATTTATGGCAACAAGCTCAAAGAGGTTGTCTCTTTTTCCTATACTTGTATAAAATAATTCATGCATTGTTTGTGCTAAGTTTGTACATATCGATATCAAATACCTGATAACACTGTATATTATACATATGTATATAAATACGAGGTTATGACGTACTATCTATATCCATATTTGGTACTCTTGTATTGTCAGATGAGAGTTGAAGTAGGAGAAAGCGGAAAAGGCCAATCCAAGATTGCAGTATTAACGTCCGAGCTAGAAGAAACAAAGCATAGCCTGCAAAGGACCAAAGACGAAGGCGACTTGATGTCATGCAGCATAAAAGCATTAAAAGAAGAGCTTGAAAGAACGAAAAAAGATTTGCAGTTCAGGGAAAAGGAGTTTCAGAAGCAGCGATTTGAGCCTGAGAAAGAAGAGTTCAAGTTCATGGAAAAGTCATCCAAAAAGAGTTTCATAACTCAAAATGAAGAGCCTGCAGATGAGTTCCAAAAGAAGAGATACGTGAAATCTGCAAGCCCTCCTTCATTAGCTCAAGTTGTTGTCAACAAAGAGGAAATGGTGGGAAAACCAGTTAAGAAAGTAGGAAGGAAGCCAACGATCTCCATGATTAGATGGCTTTTTGCCAAGAAGAAAGGAAGTCGAGAAGATGATCAGTCCCCTAGAACAAATGACTTTCAAAGGCATTAGTAGTTGAGCTTGCAGGTACAATTTGCTTGTTGGGTATATTACCTTTGTTGGGGTTGCCACCAGGACAAATGCAATTGGAGGTTTCTGTAATAAACTTATAATCATTGATCATTGCCCTGAAATCAAATTTTCTATTATTGGGTGTATGTTTTATTGCCTCGTTAGTTTGAACAAAGAGGTTATAAATTGTACTTATATTTCAAAATATATTCGGAAAATAAAGATCTAAGTATGATTTTAGTCCTTTTATTATATTATAATGTTACAAATTATACTCAACGTGAATATTAGCGTGTTCTGATAAAAGATAACGAAGGAACCAAACACATATTGGAGTATCAGACACAGTGAAAGCTGATAGTCGTTAACATTTGTTAAATGAAGTCATAACAACACTTCCAAGTAATTATATTTTTGTGGCTTAATACACCTTTGGGCGACTAAACTATATTTTAAATTGACTTTTGGTGTCTAATTTTTTTTTTGGTTAAAAATATGTCTAATATTTTTCTTCTTTACACTTTTATGAAGGTAAAGGGTTGCATAGAGGGGTCAGAGGAGGAGTCAAAGGAGTTGGATGTTCTTTGTGGAAGGGTGAACACTACAGCAACATTATTGACTTACCTGAAATCTAAAGCAAGAGTAATGGCCGTTCCTGGTTTAGCCCATAGATTATGTGGCATCAAAGTATTGGAAGGGATGGGGATTGTGGATAAAGAAGGTATACCGCTATCTGGCTGGTCAAGGAGCGTTGATCTTTCTTCATTTGATTGTTTGGATGATGAAACATGGATTGGAATTCGTAGACAGCAAGGTTCATGGATGCAAAAGATGGAGCCTATATTGGAGAATTAATCAAGTTTGTGCAATGGTGTCGGATGTAATGGAACTTTTTGTTAAGAGGGTCATCATGGCAGAATCGAAACCTGCTTTTGAGAAAGAAAAGGTAACTTTAGGTGAGGAAGAAATTAAAAAGAAGGCGGTCCAAATTGAGAATATGTCGATGAAGTTAGAAGATATGGAAAGGTTTGCTCTGGCTGCAAATAGTGTTCTTAATGAAATGAGGCATAGGGTTGAGGACTTGGTCGAAGAAACTTCTAGACAGAGGCAACGAGCTACTGAAAATGAACAGGAGCTTTCTCGTGTGAAGCAGGATTTTGAGTCTCTGAAATCTTATGTTAGTAGTCTCATTAGTGTAAGAGAAACCCTTCTTTCATCAGAGAAGCAATTTCAAACAATTGAGAGGCTCTTTGAACGGTCAGTATGATATTTGTGTTCTGTAATCTCCTTGACTTCACTTATTCTTTGATATGTTTGGTTGAAGCTAGGTTGCCTTTCTCATGTTGTTTATCTACAACTGAGGTGTCTAATTTTAGGTGTCCTATCTTTTGCTAGTGTTGCTATTTTAGGAGATGTAATTATAGTCATGAATTTGATTGGAAATGCACGATAGCGGCAACTATTTTCACACGAGCAAAACTGCATTTTGCATCTGGTAGATGGGTGGATGTGCTGGGAAGTGGTGGTATTCAACAATACTTTTGTGTATCTGTCTTGTGCAGAAGATTCTTTTTAGTCGGTATCTTATTCATGGAATGACTTTTAGTACTGTTCTTAACCAGACTAGTTGCGAAGACAACACAGCTAGAGGGTGAGAAAAAACAGAAAGAGGCTGAAGTTCAGAAGCTTATGGAAGAGAATGTGAGGTTGACTTCACTTCTCGACAAGAAAGAAGCTCAGCTTTTGGCCATGAATGAACAACGCAAAGTGATGGCCTTAAGTGCTTCAAATGTATGATCCAGCTACCTCACTCTATTGCCTGTTGGACTGTAGTGCCTGGTGCGCTGTTCCAGCTGACGCAACAACACCAGCCAGTGAACTGTGAGGTGGGACTTGTTGTGCTCTGCATAGGCAAATTCGTAGCTGAGAAGACAGTAGACTGCTACTGATATAGATACAATGCCTCTCTACCATTGAAGCGATGCCTCTAGTTACAAAATGTAGATGATCGTGATAGGTTATTATTGGAGTTCACTAGTCAAGTTTATACCGGGGTAACACAAATTGAATTCTGATGGAACATGTGAAGATCAGTTGTATCTACCTCCTTTATAGAGATGTACGCTTCTCCATCGATGATCGGTGCTTTTAAGGACTCGAATGGCCATTGTTCATGCTATCATGATCCATTTAGCCTTTGCTTTCCATGTAAGCTCTCAACAATGGCTTTATATGCGTTCCAGTTCCAGTTAGATTGTATCTGTTGGTTTGAGTCTACATGTCAGATTCGTAGCCATTTGTTTTATCCATCGCAGAATGAATAAATATTAGCTTTATTGTACTTGGAAGATGGTATGAGAAGGGGTTTAACAGTGACGGAAACTGGCAACGTTACAGTTGTTATCTTGGCTTTCATTGTAATCTATATTCATCACGATATTCACCATAATTAAAGGTGATCACGTATAGTCATATCACTTATACATTCAAAGCAATAAAGTTAGCCATTATCTTATCACATATTTGTTCTGGGTTTGGCATGCAAGATTATATGTTTGCTAGCTGTTTCGAAAGGGAATATAAAGGAATCAGTCATAAGATCACGTTATGTAACTATTTAAGGCCAGGTTGTGGTACTTCAAACACGGGAAATATTTCGTCTGTTATAACAAATGAAAGGCTGATATGCAATCCTTAATCCTGTGTTTAAAATTATAAGCACAAAGGTGTTAGAGAGCTGTACATGAACTTCACAACACTAAATTTATGCCCCCATATGCATGAGTTACACTCGGTCTTACATCTCAAACCTTGTCACCTGACAACTCTCGATGTTTTAATATTCGGTTGGTCATCGATACTGTGAGACTACAGTTTCTTGCCAAGTAAGCTAACCTTGCGAGACAGCTTGCAAGTATGCTGATAATGGAGTTTTTTTAAGATTTATTTATTTATTTAGAAAAGACAGAATTCGCCATCTTTCAATATTATTCTTCTATAAGTAAATTGTTCATTAGTTCATGTTCATCATATACGGGGTTCATTGCAACCGGTGTAATAGGTAGGGTGACTGCATGGAGATGATAGTCTATTTAAGCGGTAATGTGTTATATATGCATTGATGGAGATTGTTTTGATTGAAGAAGGTTTTTGGATGGAATGTTCCGTCGAGGGATAATGGTGTAAAGGAGTTGAAAATCAAATCAAATTGAACATCTTGTAAACATTGAGGTTTGAAAATTTTAAGATCAAGACCAAATTAATCAATATGAAAAAATTGAAGGTTTTATTTGTTATTATACTGATTTTTTAAATACAATAAATAAGAATATCAAGTATAGTAGGTTTACACAATATGGGGAGCTTCCAATAATAGATTTTAAAATAATAGTATTCAAATATAGTTACGACTTGATACTACATAAGGGTTTATGATAATACATGCCAATATAATACCCAATACGTACTCTAGAAGCTGACTTGGTTTGGACTCCTGAATTTGGTTACGAGCTGCTCGAACTGGCACCTAAGAACCTGCGCATGGAAACACATTTCATACGTTGAACTCACAAGCTCAGTTCCACACAAATAACCCAACTATGCTACATGCATTCAATATATAAGCATGCTACGTGCACAATTATGAATCATGCGTATACTTATCACACAACGAAAGTAAGCATCATAGTATAACTCGGGGTCACCATAGCATCACGGAACTCACACACCTATTTGCTTACTAAGGGTACTTTGAGTAAGATATGGATCACGTAGCATCACTATCTTACAATATCCTGGGCTAGATTTGGGTCACATAGCATTGGTACCTTGCCAAGCTAGTTTACTCCTTTCGAGTACTCAGGTGGTGCATGGGTCACTTAACATCAGTACAACATCCAACTAGCATTTTAAGTGCCCAAACACTAATTTGGATATATTCAGATAATCCTCGTTCTATCATACAAATGTTATACAAAGTGACTCTGATATCCTCATCATTTCTCAATCTTCAAACAAAGGAATAAGTCTTATGGAATCTTACCTCATTAAGATCTTATGTTATCACACAATTTATTTAGGGTTTTCACTTGTAAGCTTACTGAAAGGTTCCCTTCATCAAAAACCCTCGCTTCGTCCTTCCCACTCAAACTAGGCTTACACCCCAAATTTCTACGATGGTATCGATACTCCTCCTTGGGTATCGATACTTCCCTTACTAAGGTATCAATACTTTCTCGAGTATCAGTACCAAATTTATTTTCAATGTTCTACAAAAAGCCTCAGTATCGATATCCATCTTGGGAGTATCAATATTTTCCCTCCTTAGTATTGATACTTCATGAGTATCGATACAAAAATTGCTTTCGATGTTTTAAAAAAATATGCCATTATCGATACCCCTACTAGGAGTATTATTATCGATACCAAAATTGGCCACTAGAATCTGACCAAGCCTGAGTATTGATACTAGGCCCCTGAGTATCGATATCCATTGAAAATTATTGATACTCTTTGATGGGGTATTGATACTCTCTTTACAAACCCCTTTGAATTTTCCCCTTCTCGACTAGCGGTATCGATACTAATAAAGTATCGATACCCTTAACCCAGAAAAATGTTTTCTCTCATCTAAAACATCCCAAAAACTCCTAAGGTGTCCCCAAGACCCCCAAACGGTGTTTAAAGCTTATTTAGTGATCAAGGGTTACAAAATATCATTACTTTATGCTTGGATAATAACAAATTCTCGTTTTCATGTTTTGAACCCCCAAATACACCCAAGTGACTCATGCACTCATACAAACAACAAAACTACACATGTTAATCTACAAACAGTAAAGAGAGGTTAGAAGTGTGTTACCTTGCACCTAGAAACTGAAGAATCAACTTAAGGCTCACCCAAACACCACTTTCTCTTTTGGAGCCTTCACCCACTTCTCTCACTAGAAACGACAAGGAATAAGTTATAACTCATCTAAAGAATTTTGGGAGGAAGAAAAGTGATTCTAAACATCAAAAATGAGCTAGAATCAGCTTAAGGTTCTAAAAACCCAAAAACCCCACTAAATCTCTCCTATGGCTACCTTAATCATTTGTGAAGATGGAGGGCTCAAAAGAAAGCTCTAGGAATATAAATGACCTTTTTTACCTTAACAAATTCGAGTAGGATTAATGGCCTACAAAGATTCCACCTTTAACTCACAAGAAGATGAGGAGAGGGTGTTTTGAAATAAGAAAGAAGATAAGGATGAAGTGGGGTGATTCCCACGGTGACATAAGATTCATAAAAGAGCAACCAACCTTTAGAAGACTTTTAGGGAAAATTACAGCTTTAGACCTTCCTAGTTTAACCTCAAATCAAAAATACTCTTTTTTATCTCATCTTGGACTCAACCCAAGCCCAATTCACTTCCTAATTGTGATAAAAGCTTCTCGTAAGCCTGTTGGATTTTATTTAATTCTCTCTCGGGTTAGCCTGAACTATTAACTGTGATTCGGGGCGTTACATGATCAATCAAGTAGTTAACCCTTACTTAAATGATAATAATTAACAGTTAGATCAATTTTCTTAATACTTTGGAATGATTTTAAGGTAGTATATGTTCTGAACTTTCTTAGTATGTATATAGTACATATACATCCGACAGGCACAACTATTAAATTAATATCATTTATATTACTAGACGGGTTATATTTTTTGAAAACTAGTTATGAAATGATTTTTTTAGTTTCATCGTGTTCTTATATTTTGTGAGCAAAGATCACATTGTTTAGGCATGCATGTCCGGCGCATGCGAGACAAGCCATGGACCTACTAATTTCACACATTTAAATCAATCAATGTCTCTTCTATATCCATGTGTGTTCTTAATATCTTATTAAAATATATATTGCTTTTACTATTTTTCTTGTATAGAGATTCATTTTGTTCTTGCTATTATCTTCCCCACCATGTTTGGTTTCCAGGAAAATCAAGTTTAGAGATGATTTATGTAAGAGAGTTCCTTCAGTCGTTACAAAATCATATTTTTACAAGAAGTTAAAACTAAACGTCTTACGCATCAAACGTTTATAATATACTAAGCGATCTTCATTGATCAAATACGCAGAATCCAATATCAAAATCTGGACTTGAATTCGAGAACTCGTTCAACTTGTAATTCCCTTCTTCTCCACCATTACTACTACCATGTAATAACAGCAATGCCATGTCTGAGTTACTGTCATTATTGGCTTCAAAGCTCGAAACACCTTCATCGCCACCGTATCTGATCTCTTGGCTCAGTTGAGACGCTACGAATTTGTCGAGGGCTCTCGAGTCAGTCACTTTCTTCGAGTTGTCGCAATATAATTCGTTCTTCTGCTGCTGCTGCTGATATTCTTCTTCTTTGTCATGATTATTCTCTGATATTAGAGATATCGAGTTCGGCCTCTTTATCAGTGGCAGAGAAGGGCTCTCCAGCTGAGGAACCTGGACGAACTGATCATAGTGGACGAAGTTCAAGTGATCCGCATCTATCTCTTGCTTACACAACATATTCGGAGGTTCGAAATTATGGGGTTGCTGCCTCGAAATGTGATCGATCGAATCGACAATGGTGCTGATGCCACTCGCTTCATCGCAGAAATAGATCGAGTCCCACTGTTCTATGGTCTTGTTTTGACCAGAAGTACTGGTTCTCTTCTTGAACGCTCGACAAACCACCCATCCTTCCTCCTGAAAAAAGAAATCAAAGTTAATGATTTGGCCTTTGAAAAAACAGATGAACACAGAAGAAACATGAAAAGGATCATGTGCCAGAAAAGGAATAGAAAGAAGTAAGCATGCATGTAAAATATTTACTTAGGGATGGTGGGATTCATTGTTCTAGAAATGATAATATATGTTTGACATTTAACTAAGCATCCTGTCTTTTCTTTGGTGACTGATAGTAATGGAAGCCTAACCCTTTCTTTGGACTGAGTTGAGTCAACGATGCTATTCAAAGTTACTTATAATGTTGGACGACCATATATATATATATATATATATATATATATATATATATATATATATATATGCATATGCTTGCCTGTGGGGGTCCGTTGTCGTGGGATTCAAGCCTGTATTCATGCATGATCCAATCAGTTTTCTGACCAGTTGGAGCTCTTCCTTTATAAAAAACCAGAGTCTTTCTCATGCCAATCAGCTTTGATTTATCATAAACAGCCTTGTCTCTCCCGGTTGCTTTCCAGAAACCCGCCATGGTCGCTCTATTGGTTCTCGTCCCCGTTGGATACTTCTTATCCTTGTGGCTGAAGAAATACCACTCGTTTTGCTCCTCGTACCCGATCCGGCACCTCTCTGCTCATCGCCAATAACACACACATCTTATATAAAAATAAGACACGCATATACTGATATACACAGTTTAGGGTTAACATTATGTTCTCATGCAAATGAGGAACCCTAGCTAGCTTGGATCTTAACAACCACCCCCTCCCCCCAAAAAAAACACCCCCAGAGTGAAGAACTGAGCTTACAGAATTCCTAAGATAAGATGACTATACCTTGAAGATCCCATGGTTCGGTCCTGTAGAGATCAATGTCTCTGATAACGTCGAGATCGATCTTGTTCGATGATACTTTCTTCCTCAGGTAGTACCCGACAAGCTCCTCGTCTGTTGGGTGGAACCGGAATCCGGGTGGGACACACGACTCCATAGATCACTTCACTGATTCCACCTCCCCGATATTAGCAGTAGCTAGAGACCACTCTTTTATAACTTCATCATCTCTAAATCATAACCAATAAAAGAAAACTTAGAAAAGAGAATAAAAATAAAGTCTCGTAATGATCATTGGCTACTAGGCTATAGCTCATTTGGTGATCGGTAGTGATTAACACTCAACGGGCTCAACCCCATGTTTATCACTCTCTTGGAAACAAAATTTAACGCGTGTTATAAAACGAAACCCATTGTTTCATAGATGTGAAAAGGGGAAAAGAAAAAGAATCATGAAAAGTTTGGTTTGTTTTTTTATGAAAACCGAGAGAGAATACTTGGAACGGACAACTACATGTTTGTGCTAATGATGTTTTCTTGTGTTGGTGAAAGGTGGGAATGATGTATCAAGAACGGGGTTTCCATTACTAAAACTATTAGTAAAATAATTTGTCAAATTATCATTTTAGTCCATTTATTACCTTGGAAGTTTGAATTCATCTAAAAATCTACTCACTAATAACAATTTTTTCCTTATTTTAAAAGAAAAGAGACGGTTTCAAGAATGCATACATACACATCAAGAGAATTTTTTAACCAAAAGGATTTGAAACAAAAAAGGTTACCTTTTGTTAAAAACATATAAATTAATCAAAGAAAGATCAGTATAAAACACATTTAAGTTAGGGATTTTGAGTTGTTCTATGGCTGATTAGAAAGTTGAATAATGGACAAAGGTGGATGACGCCATCACCATTAAGCATGCGTTTGTTTGAGATACCAAAGAAAGAAAAAGAACTTTTCTTCTTGAGAGGCGAAAGGAGAGAGACAGTTTTGAATGGATCAAAGCCTTAAAAAAGTGAAATTAGAGGTGAGAAAAACCGAACTCCACTTGCAGTTGCAGAAGTTTGTCTCATTGCAAACGAAAGGATTCTGTCAAGTTTGTCTATTTGTCGAGAATTTTAATAGCAAAGCCGACCCTTCTTTTTCCTTTGATGTAAGAACAACTGATAGAAGGAACAAGGGTTCTTCATTGGAAGTTAATGACTAATGTCAGAATATGCTAAATGAGGAAGAAACATACGCAAAAACACATAAGAAAAACCTTGTAATCGAGGCAAGACAACCAGCTGACATGACAAAATAGATTTTTTTCACATGCAAATGTAGAAGCTTACCTGGATATTAAGTTAGGTGGCGGTGGAGTTAATTAATTATTGGTTTTTGATGAGTTGAGATGGAGAAGGAATGAGGAAGAAGACGACAAAGAGAGGAAATGAAAAGGGTCAGAATCGAAGAATAGAGAGACAAAATAGGAAGAGAATATAAGAAGGGGAGGGGGAGGGGGAGGACCGCTCAATTGCGCATGGTTGATGGCCGCCCCCACTTGGCTTACGTCAATGCATACCTAACTTGCTAAGCTTTTTTTCATCTGACAAAACTCATGTCTTTACCTTTCCTTTCTCGCAAATGTTTAAACCCTCCTTCTTTCACTGCATTTCTTATCAACTTCGATCCAAAGTCTTCTCTTTCCTATATATGACTAGCTCACCATATATATATATACCATATAACTACCGTCATAAATAATAAAAATTTGAACAGATATCCTCATAATTAATCAATATATATTAACTTAAATTCGAATAGAGCTTTTATATAATAAGATTTGTTGAACAAATAATACATACATATGATATAACTTGAACAAAATCATTAATTTCCACGATTCAGAATTGGTCGATAATGGTTTTCCTATATCTAGCTACTATGTTTATGCTCTTTAAGCATATTTTTAATCTTATACTTAGGGTTGTTAATCAATATAATGTTTGATGAATTGTTCATATAACATTCGTTTATTAAACTAAACAAAAATGTATGAACAAATTTTTTTATATTCATTTAATAAATGAAAGAACACGAATAAATATGTGTTTGGTTTATTTATATTCACGAATAAACTCATTTGAAAGCTTGTTTATATAATTGTTTATATTCACAAATGTGTTTGGTTCTTTTTCACGTATGATATTTATATTATCTAGATCTAGATTGATTAGTTTTAATATTAAAATAAAATGTCTAAATTATATATTTAATTTGTGATAATAATTAAATTTTTATTATAATTTTAGATATTTTTATTTTTTTTTAGTTATACTACCTGCCTCTGTCTCTGTTAAAAAATTCTGCACAAGCGTGAATAGAATACGATAGGGACAAGTGATAAAACGACTTGACATTAAATTTGGTAAGAAATAACTGGAAAAGACGTCCACGTAGGACGGTGGTGGGTCGGCTGCGGTCTCCAATCATGAGGCGGACCTCATCATTGAATCCATTAACCCCACCATCAAAATTGGGGCGGTGAACCGCAAACAAATAACCCTTCTCTCATATACAGCGTTATATTATAGGAGTTAGCGTAACCAACAAAAGAGGAGATCCCGGGAGGGTCCTATTAGGATCACAACACTCCTGTTTAAGACATCGACCACCCTCCAAACTTGTTTCTTTTTCCCTTTCTCAATCCAAAAACACCACCTTACCCTTCCAAATTCATGTTTTTCCATGGCTATCAAAACCGGACCGGATCAGCCGGTTTAATCGGTTGAACTGTGAACCGGTGGCCTGTCCAATCCGGTTACCTCACAAAACTGGACTGACAATGAACCAGTTGAAAACCGATAAAACAATGGTGAACCGACTGAAAACAGGCAAAATCGGTTTGAACCGTCGGTTCACTTTTTTTCTTTAAAAAAAAATTAAACCAAACGACGTCGTTTGTTCAACGAGCCGAGTCAAATTCGAGTATTGCTGAGCTCGACTCGAACTCGAAAACTTTAAAAGTAAGCTCAACTTGACTCAAAAACTCACGAGCTAAAAATTATCAAGTTCAACTCGTACTCGAAATATAATATTAAAACTTGAACTCAAAAAGGCTCGAACTCAAAAAAAAATTAGAAGTTCGATTGAAGCCTAAATTTGAGCTCAATTGAAGCGAAAAAATAGTTCGTTCTTTGCTCACTAAAAGGCTCCATGATTTTGAATGTCAAATTACCTCTATTATTTATAGAAGTAAGTTGGGATGCTCTTCTATGTTTCTTAGTCATGTGAGATTGTTTTGTTATCATATTTTTACTCTTTAAACTTTTGGGATGCTCTTCTATGTTTCTTAGCCATGTGAAATTATTATTTTTTAAAAAAAAATTAAATCAAATGACATCATTTGTTATGATTTTTTTAAGCCCCAATTTTATTTTTTTATTATAGTTATATAATTATATTTATTATTTAATATGTTTTACCTTAAATATTATATTGTAGTTGATTTGAATCATTTTGTTTCACTTGATTTTATGGTTTTTAATTTATATATGTTATAACTTGTGATCTTTTTATACTTTTTAATATTGTAAACTTAAAAAAAGTGTTACATATATATTAATATTGCTTTGAATATTATGTAAAATTAAAAAAAATTATTTTATATAAAATCAGGTTCAACCGCGGTTGAACCCGGTTGAACCAGTGAATCGATATATTCACCAATTCAATGTTCAGTCCGGTTTTAAAAACATTGTGTTTTTCACACTCATAACTCGACTTGCTTCAACTCTTTTTTTCCTTTATTTATTTATAAGGTGTGAAACACAAGGCTTCTTCCAAAGGGGGCATCAACCATGATTGCAGTACCCAAGCTTGTATTTTTTTATATAAATATTGCATCTTTCTTATCAATCAGAATCAAAATATTTTGCACTTGTTGGTTTATTCCCATTTGGTTTTTGTGTAGTTATTTTATGGAATTAATAAGATAATATTATCAGTAATATGCGATTCTATGAGGTGATTATTGACCATCATGTGAATTAGAGTGGATATCATGTGGCTATTTCATACATTATTATCGTCATCATCATAATTTGGAAAAGCTACTGATTGATTGAGAATTTGCACCCAAACTAACAATTCCTTCTCAAATGGTTTACACAGTAACCTTGAACCGGGCTTTTGATCAGTGAAAATATCTACTGACAGAGTAGTAGTTAGTAGTAGTATTGTGCTATAATATGTCAGATATTGATTAGTTGGGCGCCTGCAATATCTTTTATGATTTGTAAGCTATAAAGTAATACAAGTTCGACTACATTTCTTAACTTGGAACTCTGAGGGAATGGGGGCCGGTGCCAGGGAAAGAAAATAGATGGCCACAGGTGAGCAGATGATGGGGTCCGTGGTGTTTTACTCGTGGTTAATGATCGTGTTTGATGGACGGGGTCGCAAGTGGGAGGCCCAGATTACGACGCGTGTGAGTTCACTGTTGACCTGTAAGATCCTTGGATGTTGCAAAGCCAAGTGATGGATGTTTGGCTTCTAGTCTTCTGAGGGTTTGTCAAAAAGGTGTGATTCCGTGTTGCCTTAACTTTTTGCTTCCTTAATCCGTTTTTTACAAGCTTTTGATAGCTGTTATACAAATGATTTTTTTTGGGTGAGAAAAAGGGTTATTGCCAAGTGTTCGTTAAAAACTTACTCTAATCCTGATAGAAAAAAAGAGTATACTTTATAATAATTTTACAACTGAACAACAAAATAAACAGAAACAAAACATCCATACATCACCAAAAGAGTACCACAAGACAAACACCAATCAACTAGAATCCACCATCAAGACGTCGAGATACAAATGATATTTTTCTATAAGCGATAGTTGAATTTAGGTTATAAACGGCTTGAGTACGGTTGAATTTGATTGATTCAAAAAAATTTAAATTCGATACGAAAATTAGTGAGTTAAGTTTAAAATTGTTAAGTGCAACTCCATTCAAAATCGAAGATTAAAGTTCAACTTAAGTTTTAAAAATTTTAAACACGAAACATTCTTAAACTTAACTCGATTAAAATTCTAATTAGAAAAGTAAAAGGGGTCTAAGGTCTTTTTATTTTTCTAAAAAGATCAATATGATCCTTGATTTTTTTCACTCAATGTAGCCTTTTAACCAACGTTTTTTACCGTTCACTATTACGATATTAATATGACACTTAATGATACTGATGTGATGATCCACAATGTTAACGTGATAATTAACGATGTTAATGATATAATTGATGACGCGACTAATTAATTAAATTATTTTTTAAATTCAAATGTCAAATTGATTTTTTTAAAATTTAAGTTCTTTTTAAAAAATATAATAATTTAAAATTTAAAATGTAAAAATATTAAAAAATAAATATAAAAATATCATTAATTATTAGTATTATTTATTAAATAAAAATATGTTATATTTAATTTTAAGACATTATTATTTTATTTTTCATTGAAGTTACAAAAGTCACCTTTATCATTTTTTGTAGCCCTCGATACCGACAGCAATTTCTTCTAGTTGTCATGCGATTATTCCAGCTTTGAACATATGGTGGTCACGTAATGTTAGGTATCTAATACTTCAAATTTTGGCTAGTGACCAAAATATAAATTTTAAAAGTTTAGTGACTAAAGTATAAATTTTGTGTAAAAATTCAGAGACCAAAAATGTAATTTTTAGAAGTTACCATAAATGAATAGTTTATTAAGAAATTTATGTTTTTGTGGGAATCGTAATTTTAATTCTGAATTTGTATTAAAAGTTATAAAGTTGTAAAGTCTGATAGAAATTCAGATAATCAGATTGAGCGAAACTTCGAGATATTGTGAAGGATGATGGAAAAAGGTGGTAAATATTATTTACATAATTTAGAGCAATAAAATTTATTATGGATAAGTGGAATTAATGTCTATTTTCCATGTTAAGCCAAAATTGTGAATTTCATTTTAAAGCTTATTGGATTGATTTTTGTATATAGAGAATTAATCTACTTGAAATTCTCTATCATTTGGCATAATTATTTCATGAAAAAAATACTTGGATGATGAAATTCATGATTAGGGTTCATGAAGAACATGTTGAATTTTGAAGAATTAAATGATGATTTTTATGTTATTGGTGTTGTAGATTAATTTCCAAGCATGAGTGATGATAAAAAAGCCATCTAGAAATTAATTTGTGAAATTTGGCCATATTTAGGGTTATAAGAAATTGTTGAATTTTGATTGAATTCAGGTTGAGTTTGATGTTAGGATGACTGGAATTGCATGAATTTGATCATAGGAGTGTGAATTCATGCTTGAAATTGAATGAAATTCTTGGCATAATTACTTAATTAGGTACGGCCAATGCGTTAATAATTAGGGTAAATTATTTGAAAATTTCCTAATGTCTATAATTGGTATTAGATGGATTCTACAT